CCAGGAGTTGGAGGTTGCTGTGAGTGTGATGCCACGGCACTCTACCCAGGGGGACAGCTTGAGGCTCTGTCTCAAAAAAAAAAAAAAAAAAAAACGTTAGCCAGGCATGGTGGCATGCATCTGTAGTCCTAGCTACTTAGGAGGCTGAAATGGGAGGATTTCCTGGGCCCAGGAGTTCAAGGCTGCAGTGAGCTATGAGCCAACTTGTGTGACAGAGTAACACCCTGTCTCTTAAAGAAAGGAAAAAAGGTCTTGTGTAGTGACTTAGGCCCATAATTCTAGCACTTTGGGAGGCCAAGGCGTGTAAGGTCAAGAGTTCAAGGCCAGGAGCAGCACCTGCGGCTCAAAGGAGTAGGGCACTGGCTCTATATGCTGGAGGTGGTGGGTTCAAACCCAGCCCCAGCCAAAAAAAAAAAAAAGAAAAGAGTTCAAGGCCAGCCTGAGCAAGAGCAAGACGCCATCTCTACAAAAATAGAAAAAATTAACTGGACGGGGTACCAGGTGGGCACCTATAGTCCTGCCTACTCAGGAAGCTGAGGCAGAAGAATCACGTGAGCCCAGGAGTTCGAGGTTGCAGTGGGCAATGACGATGCCACTGCCGTCTAGCCTGGGCAACAGAGCAAGACTCTGTCTCAAAACAAACAAGCAAGCAAACAAACAAACAAAGGAGATTTGAGAAGAAGAGATAGAAGGGGTCAGAAAGTGAAGAGGAAGCCAAGACCTCAGCGTCCATATCTCTGCCTTGTGCGGTTCGTTTCCAGGGTAAACCTTGGGCTTTCTGATGCTTTTCATAAAAATTCCCCCCTTGTAAGAAGAAGCATAAGCACAACCTTTGCATATTGTGATGGGCAACAGCAATGTGCGCAAAACCTAAAGCACTGTGCTGTGGTTTGAGTTCTATAAACACTAAGTTTGAAACATGTTGTGCATTCTTATGACAATTCTCTTGTTTTATATATCATTTTCTCCTTTTCCTCTGTGCCTTAGTTATTTGTGGAAGCATCAGGGATTGCTTTGGTCATTGGAAGGTCATTTTAGCTTCAGCCTTATCATAGAAATATTATGTGACAATTTGGTGTCTCGTCTTCATTGTCCTTATCTTTCCCTGTTTTCAAAGAAGGTGATTATGACAACAGCCACCATACGGTGAACATTTCCTGTGTGCTAGGTGGATGCTGAGTTAGTTTAATGGGGTTTTTTAATAGTCACAAAAAGCCTAGGAGGCTGGTATTTTTTATTTGTCACATTTCATAGCTTAGGAATTGAGTTCTGGAGAGATGAACTTGTCGAATCCATATGGCTGGTAGCTGCTAAGAGATGAACCTCAGCTCGTGACTGACTCCCTGCTGTGAGCTGAGTTGTGGGCCCTATAGGAACGCAGAGGTTAATTCTTTTTTTTTTTTTTTT